AGCGCCGCGGCGGTTGCGCCGATCTGGTAGAGGTACCAGTTCAGCCTTGCCATTCCGGTGCGTAGTTGCGCTAGAATGCTGGCTTCTTTCCAGGCCAGTCCGTCATACAGCTTGCGTGTGTGGTTTCCCGGCAGGGCTATGTCGATCTTCTTCGAATATGCTCCTACGTTGTCGGGCAAGGCTCCGTGCTTCTGTCGCACGCTCTGTAAAGCGATCCTAAGTGCCGTCGAGTAGGCTCTGGCCGGCCGTTTTTGTGGTGTCTTGTTTACTTGGGTACTTTCCTTTGCTGCTGCTTTGGCCGCTTGCGCCAGGTCTGACTCTATCGATGATGGAAGCCAGAAGAGAGTGACTCTGTTGCCTCGTCTCTGCAGAGCTTGCACGCTGGCATATAGTTGTCGGATCTCTTGTTGGCCTGACTGCTGCCGCGGGTTGTGCATCACCAACACTGCCGCTTTGTTGCGGGTGAAGACGTGGATGGCCCGGTACTCGAGTCTCTCTGGGAGAGACTTGACCGCTTCTGCCAGTGCCGCTAGCTCTGCTACATACGGGTTCTGCTCCGTTCTCTGACCGAACGTACGCGAGGCCGTCACGACGCCACCGCCCCCTCTGAAAGATGCGGGCAGCGTCGTCGCCGTTCCAAAGCCCACAACCTCGTTCCTTGCTGAGCTCCCTGTCGCTATCCTCACTGCCCATCCAGACCGGATTGCCTCAGAGGCCTTGACCGTGTCGTCGTCGACTACTGTATCAATACGACGTTCCCAAGGAGCGATCGAATACCCTTCGATAGTCTCCAGCTTGTCAAGGGGTAGGTCGCGATAGGCCTCCGCCATCAACTGGAAGGGTGACGGAAACCGTCTAAAGGCCACCGCCCGCAGACGTCGAAGCGGATGGGTCTTGGGAAGGCTTCGCAGCCGTACCCAGAATGTCGTTGATTTTCTGTCGTACCTCTCTTGCGCCGATTGTATGCTTGCCTCCGCTTCAGCGACCGCCGTGGCCACCGTGTTGAAGGTTCCCACGATCGCTTGGGCGCCAATCCTCTGCACTCGGTTGATCACCCTCATCTGCGCTGCTCGACACCTGTACCTCCAGACGTTCGACGCGTAGTCCATCGTCGGTGCTACGGCCGCCACGAAAAGCTGTCTGGCCGTCGCCGGAGACAGGCCTTTGAGCCGTTTGAGCCCCAGCACGGCCTCCAGCCCTTTTGTCGTCGCGTCTGCGATGTGCTTTTCGAAACGGAGTTTCGTGTCCATCATCACTCCCAATACTTTGACGTGGTCCTTTGCTCGGACAGTGTCACCTTTGATGACGAAGCTGGTTGAGTCCGCCGGCAGCCTCCAGTTGCGCGTGAAGTGGATGATGGCCGTCTTGTCCGTCTCGAACGTCGCCCCGCTTCGTCGTTCCCACGCGAGTGCTCGATCGATAATATCTTGGATGCCCTGACGGTTTGCTTCGCGCGATCGGCCTGTGACCCACGCCGTGTAGTCATCGACGAAGGCCAGCGCGCCCCCGTTCTCGTCGATTTGGTGCTGTACGAGATCGGCGTTGAAGAAGAGGAAGAGCACGGGCGAAAGCGGCGAACCCTGAGGCAGTCCGGCTTGTGGTAGCGGACGAGCCTCGGACTCGTGACCGTTAACCAGGATGCTTGCCGTTCTATGGGAGCAGAAGGCGTCCACCCATCTCACCAGCTTGTCCGGGATCCCCCGCGCTCTGAGTCTTTGAAGTAGTCTCTCTTTGTACACACCATTGTATGCTCCCTTGACATCGAAGCTGACCAGACTGACCACCTTTCTCTTTCTCCACGCTCTGTAGATGTACTCCTGCAGCAGTACCAGCGCCTGCTCTGCCGACCTCTGCTTGCGAGCGCCAAAGTGGCTCGTGGGAAGGAGGCCGAACGTCTCGACAGCGTGCGAGATACGTTCTGCCAGGACCGACTCCAGCACTTTTCCGAGCGTCGAGAGAAGCGAGATCGGTCGCCAGGCCTTCGCTATACCGTAGTCGCTTTTGTTTGGCTTCTTCAGCGGGATGATCTTTGCGTGTCGCCACTGCCTCGGCAACACCCCTTCATCCAGTGAGGTCTGGAAGAGTGTAAGCACCCTCTCCTTCACCACTGGCCACGTGTGCTTCCACACTGCCACCGGCAGACCGTCCTCTCCGGGTGCTTTCCACGACTTTGCCGCAAAGAGCTGTCTCTCTACTTCTCCCAGTGTGAGGTTAGGGAAGGGTACCGGCGATCGTTGTGGCCGATCCCCCTCCTCCTCGATCATGCTGGGGAGAGGAGGGAAAAATGTGGAGAGCAGCTCTTCGGCCTGTTCTGCGGCGTCTCCCGTTTGGGAACCATCCGCCCTTTTAAGTTGAGGTATCTTGTCGAAAGATGCCCCTTTACTGGCGTCGAGATACTTCGCGGCCTTCCAGATATTGGCGTCGTCGGCCAGAAAGTCCTCCCAATGGCTCTTCTTCTGTTGTCGGATGGCATCGTGATATTGCTTGGCTGCCGAGCGTGCGCGTTGCTCCAGTTCAGGTTGACTGTTACCTGCCCTTCTCTCCGCTCTCGCCCGGTTTCTCCAGTGGGTATGGATCTGCCGGAGCTGGGTGAGGTCAGCCGTCCACCATCTCTTTGCATACGGTGATGGCTTGGCCGTAGGTGTCAGTGCCTCTACTGCCTCGCACACCACAGACATCAGTCGATCCGTCTGTTGCTGCACCGTACCTCCTGTTGGCATTCGCCCTAGGTTTGCTTCTACTCTCTCATTGATTTGCTTCCATGGGGCGTTCTTGAGGAGGAGCCGTGGCCGGCTTTCCATCTCAGGCGCGGCGATGTCGAAGGTCGTCTCGATCGCCCGGTGGTCCGACCCGTGGTCCGTCTCGTGCAGGCCGCATCGTACCACCGTTCTTGCTAGCTCTTCGGACGCGAGGGATAGGTCGATCGTCGTTGCCGCATCGTTCTTCTCCCACGTCTTCGTGCCACGCGGAAGGAGGCTGCGGAGCGAGTACTCGCTCATTAGATCGATGATCGGGTCCGCCTCGCCCTGCCGGCCCTCCGACACATCGTCACCTCCCCACAGGTAGTCGTGGCAGTTGAAGTCTCCTACCAGAACCACGTCCACCCTCTCCCCTGTTCCTCCTCGGACATTCGTGATAGCTTGTCTCAGCAGGTCGCACGCCTGCCGCAGCATCTCCGGCCTCTGCACCGGCACGTACACCGACGCCACTATCAGTCTTCGATCCGGAAGCCGGACGATGGCCGCAGTGATATCCGAGGACGCTATCGGCAGCTGCTCTGTCTCTACGTCTCTGTTCACCCAAAGCAAACTCCTGATTCCCCATCTTCCTTCGTCCCTCCACTCCGTTGGTACCATCCTCGTCCACCTGCTATTGCCCATCGGAACCGTAATGACCTTACCTTCTATCCTCCGCGCCCATGGCTCCTGCACCGCTATGGCCGTGAAGTCGCGCAACGCCTCATCATTCATCAGACTTTCGTGCACTGCAGCCTGTTTCCTCACGTTGAGCTGAAGGATCTGGACCTTCCTACTCATGGGAACGCGGATACAGCTTCGGACAGTTCTTGCTGAACGACTCGTGCGGTCCGCCACAGGGCACACATGTCACGATCGTCTCACGGCATTCAGAGTGGTGGTGGCCTACCTTGGCGCATCGTCCACACACCCGGGGGTTTACGCACTGGTACGCCTTGTGCTTCGTGATCTGCTGGCAGTTGTAGCACTGCTGGGGGCGCGGCCGCCGTTCAAACGCCATCGTCGTGCCGGACTCTCCTCCAACGTGGAAGAAGCCCTCGGAGATCAGTCTACGCGCATCACCGGCCTTGGTCACGAACACGACCATGGACCCATACGCCTTGGGTATCTCTTTCTTGCTAAGCCAAGAAATCTTGGCAACCGTGGTCTCGTTTTCTCGGCTAAGTGCCTCCGCCGCTTCAGCCCTGACATTGCCCTTCTCATCCAGTACCTCAATTCGCTTCACGTTGTCGATCTTCACGGGATAGAGTTCGTCTCGTAGCACGCGTGCTCCACGGCCGAAGCTCTTCTCCGCGATCTGCTTGACATACCTATGCTCCGCATCGTCGCGACAAATGATCCGGATCCTATCCGCGTTCCTTGGGTCTACCGTGACGGCCAGACACCGCCAGCTACCCTGTCCGTCCAACGCGCGCATCTCCTTTTCCACCGCAGCCCGGATCCGGCCTGGGTTGAGCTTGTCGCTGCCTTCTTCAACTCTTGATGTATCGATCGTACAGAAGGGGTCGCTGCGGCTCGGCAGCGTCGCGTTGCCCGCCGTGGCTACCCGCGAGTCGCGACCTTGCCCACCTAAGCCGCTTCGCGCGACGTCCGCGTAGGACACACTTGGGCTGTTCCGCGTCGCAGCAACTGTTGCGAGTGCTTCGAGGTTTTCGTTCGTCTTGGCGCTTTCGTCCTCCACGCGTTCTTTCATCGCTTGCAGCTCTCCTTTGACGGCCTGTAGCTCGCTCTTGACTGTTTGCAGCTCCGAAGTGACCACGCGAAGCTCTGCCTCAACGTTTTTATTCCGTGCTTCCGACTTCTTCCACGCATCGAACATGATCTTGACCGCTGTGTGTAGCTCTTTGACCTGCTTGCCCATCGTCAGGAGCAGCCCTTTGTCGTCATCCTCTATGGGTTTCGCGCGTTCCTTGGCCAGGGTTGTGGCTCGCTTGGTCGTCGTCCGCCGGCCACCACCAGCAACCTCCGTCGCTCCGTCGGTCGCATTGTCGATTATCTCTTGATGAGTCTGGTTCAGTTGGGCTTTCGCGGATGGCTTTCGCACCCTTCGTGATGGCAGGTCCTCGTCGCTCGCTGCCACCGCCTCCCTCGCAACGGTGATGGACGTCGAATCTGGCTCGAGATCCATCGCGTCGGGACGTGCGCAGAGACGCCACGCGGTAGATCGTGCTAGTGCCACGTAGCGCGTTTCGGAGCTTCTCGACAGCGCTCAACCCAACAACGTCGAATGATTCTTCACACAATCAAATATCGAAAATTCCCCAATCCTCTGATCAATACTACAGTAGAAGTCGAATTTGGTTTCCGTCTTTCTTTGTCGTTTGTAGGGAGTTCAGTAATATGGACTCAGCTGGTTCTATGGTCGAGAGTTGTGGAAGATTTGCATGCACGTACCAAGTCCCACTGCAATCCCTCATCTTCAGGATGAGCCGGAATGCCTTGTCCCTGATTTGGCCCAAGTGAAAAGTCCATGACCAAGCCCGCATGCTTATGGGCTTTCAAAGCCGATGTGAAGAGACTGAGGTGAGCGGGTGTACCAAAGCCGTAGGTAGACCAATTTACCCCGATTGGAGCGGGCCCAAGTTCTCCTCCATAGTTGTAGAACGGCAAGAATTCCACACCCCCAGCTCCAATATCACCAGCTGCCTTTATGTCTGCTTCCACAGTCCCGGCGTCTACACTGGCGTCTGGGAGCCAGTACCTGAACTTTGGACGCTCTCGGGATGGTGGGTGGAGGAAGTTATCCGGGGATCGTGTGTAGTTTGAGGCTCGGATGGGTTGGCAACTAGCGAGGAGCATGGCAAAAAAGCCGACTACATGGCGTAGTGTGGTCATTCTGAGAACGGCTTGAGTAAAGATTAGACTCTTGTTGTCTTGCACAGCAGCTAAACCAACAGACCATGGAGAGCCTTTTTTCACGATTCGAGTAGAATAAGATGAGGGTAAAGCTCCATCATTGAGCTTGATAGAGACAGAGCTGGGCACGAAACTTGCATTCGTACAATGGTGCACCGAGGAAACTGACCAACGTCCCTCGGTGCAAATAAGAACGAGATCGGGCCACTTTGTTTGGCCTGAGTGACAACAAGCAGTCTCTGACGGTGTCTTAGCACTGACGACCAAAGAGAACCCAACCAGGTCCAAGGACTAGTCTCGCGTCTGGTACTTCGAGCTACTCACAAGATGAAGTTGATGCGATGTGGGGTAAACCCCTCTGCGCTTGTACGAATCTCGGCACTTGTATTCTTCTCACCAGGAACGAGAACAAAGCAAGCATCCGCAATGCACTGAATCCTGCTTGCATGTAGGAAGCTTTGTCAGAATGAATACGCGTAACTGCAGACGTCCTAATTCCAACATGCCCGTTCACCTGATCAAGGAACTAATGCAACACCCCCCTTGTTTATTCCGGGGTGTAGCTCGCTTACATCCACAGCCGTTGGAAGTGTGGGGAAAAGAACGACGAAACAAATGTTCACAGCTTGCTTTCTCGGCGTGCATTGTCCCGATCAGAGCTTTACAATTCACTGATTCAATTAGCTGAAGGGGTTTTATATACAGATGAGAGTATTTGGGTGATTGAGGCTCACCGGCGTCACTGCTGTGATGTGGGCAAGTCGTCGCTCAAGATTGCTTGTTGGTCTCCCACGAGGCTTCAAGGTGGTGTTTTACGCTTCAAGCATACTGAGGCGTACCCATTTTCGACCATCTCTTTTCTTAGCTTCTACCTATTCATCATCTTCTGATTCAATGTCTTCTTCCTCCTCTTATGCGAGGAAATTGTGACCCAATTGGCATCGTACTTGTCCAAGAAACTTTTGTTGATACCGTTTCCCAGGGCTGAGAAAACGATCTTCCTCAATTTCGGTAGCCTTTGTTCACGATGCCTTGTTTGACGGAAACCATCAAACAAAACTCCAAGGCATTTCGTTACCCTAGGATCTGATTCGTCACAGTCCCAGGGCTGCGCCAGAATCCGGACCAATTTGATCGATGGAGGAAGTATGTTCACTAGCCGTGGTGCAGCTATCTTGTCAAGCGGCACGCTGAGCGGTTGGAGGGGGAACTCCTCTTTGATAACATCTCTGCGGAACTCTGTCCCCATGAGCATGCCGGCATCAATCTTGAGGTATTGAAGGCGCTTGAAGCCCTTCATATCGGTGAGGGTACTCTCTATTGCTTCTATTTGCGTTATGGTGTGCACCGTAAACTCTTTCAGTGTCTCGCCGCTGCAGTCCATGATGGTACTGAGGGCCTGTCCTGGGTCAAAGTACATGCCACATTCGTGCCATTTCGTCTCATGTACGTAGCGTAATCACTTCAGTTTGGGAATGCGGGACAGCAAAGCACGCAGCTCCCCTCGCCCAATTGTACAGCCCACTAAGTCCAGCTTTCTTAAATGCGGGCTATAGTCCGAGTACTCTGGTGAACAGAGTAGGCTCACACCACCGTCGTCAGTGGCAACACAGCCTCCGATGTAGCTTCTCGAAGAGACTTGATGGCCAAGAACGGTGTGTTCAAGGTCATTGCATGCCTACTTCTCCAACAGTAGCCACGTGCAACGAATGGTCGAAGAATTTTGAGCTTCGAAAGTGCCGCGTTTCTTGCGCCACGTTCGTTAGCACGAGACACAATATGATCAAGCACCTGCCAAGTACGAAGGTCTTGTTCAGTTCCGCTTGGATCTTCCCCACGTAGCCCGAGTTAGCGTCATTTGGTAGGCAGCCCAAGCTCTCGCACGTTGGTCAACAAGGTGAGAAGAAGGACTTCGGCATGTCCTAAAGCCTGAATCCGCATCATATCCTCTCAGAAATCGGGGTCTTCGCCAATCTCTTTCAGATAAGGAGACTCATGAACGAATTCTTAAAGTGCTTTGATATCTTCATCTCGCGTGAGCGGCGACAAGTGCGAAATATCTCGTGTAGGGTACTGCCCGTTGCCGAAAGCAATTTTGAGATCCGCGACTTGGATATAACGAGAAATTATTGGGTTCTGGATGATTTTCATGAGGAGATTGAGACCATTGACAACCAAAGTCTCAGACGCGTGAACACCCTCATCATCTCCAGAACTATGGAATAGCACACCCTCGCCAGCTAGATTATTCCAGTCGCCATGCCAGCGCAAACGAGTTCTATCGTCGACTTTTCTGGGCGCATCGTGAAGAACCTACCCAGCCACATCGAAAGCAAAGTGACGAAATCGGCGTTGAAGAATATTGTGCTGTTCCAGGTACCTCTCACTCGCTTCGTGCAACCTCTTGCAAGTGAGTGCAACATTCTCGATCGACTCAGGAATCGTTTCCAAGATAATGCGCTGCAGCAACTCGAGAGGGAGACTTAAAAGACATCGCCGGCAGTTATGAAACAGTCTAGCACAATGTGCAATCGATAACATTGGTCGTAAAGGTGCTTAGAATGCTGAACTTTGACGGTAAGTCAGCAGTTTAGTCGCATGAGGCTCCCATTAGGTAGATTTTCGTTAACATTCCTGGCAGTTGGCGCAAAGTGAAAAAGGGGTCAAGAAAATTACTGAGTGTTTTACCGCTGCTGCCCCGCAACCGAGAAGCCACAGCTGAGATGGACAGGGGGTTGATTCGTGACTCTGTACAAACAGAATAATAGCCGTGTAATGACTGCAATATATCAAATGCTAGAGGACTGAATGTAAATCCTACGATATCGGATTCATGAGTTATTTGCACCGGCAACTTTGATCATTGTGTAACATTCAAGCCCCCGAAAATACTTCGTCTTTGTTTAATATGGACTCATCATGATGAGACAAAAGTGCTCAAGACAGACTAAACATACTAGCGGCTGGTATTTTGGCGTTTTGTAGACATTTAACCTTGCTTAAGAGAAAGCTCGCTAGCTTTTCTCCTTTTTGAGGGAAAGTAACTAAGTAAAGCCGATTGCTTTGCTCTACGTTGTTCAGAGCCAAGTCTGTCTACAATCATTCCCGTAGTTTCTGTATCCGTATATGCAAGTGTAGAGAAAATAAGGCTCCGAGATATTGTCATTTATAAAATATATCATAGATTTTGATCGTTCAGATTCGTCAGAGACTTTACGGGTAGAAATTTTACAAGGGCCTTATTCGCGTCGTCGTGACGGCGGGCTTTAGAAGTTTTGATTCCTTCTATGAAGGACATTCCCCAGGAATTCTTTTGAGAACCATCCGGATCTTCAATCATAAGTACCTTCGAACAAAGGATGTTTACGAACGCATTCAATATAGAAGTATCAAGTCAACTAACGTGTTCATTCGCGATGACTTCAAGTTCATATGCGCGCTGTTAGTTGCTAGTCCTTCTGTCATACGGTATGTTATATGTCGTTAATTGCTGCCGTCGTGCTTGCGATAGGTTCTTCGTCGGAAATCCACCGGTGCATGGATAAATGCATGGGCTAATCTTGTTCGTCAAAAATCAAGTCGGGCGTTTAGTTAAGCCAACGTGACGAGCCATCTAGGTTTCTCGAAAAGAATCATGAGGCACTGCGCATCCAGTCAGGGGAGAAGGCCGACGAAGAAGCCCTTTGCCAACAAGCAGCGCAGTGTAAAATTGGCGTGACCCATTCGGCGAGAGGATCTCGCGCTGTTTAAACTCACGAGGTGAGGACTTGACAAATCTTCATGATGCCTATGGAATTAAGCATAATCGCAACAACGATCATACCAAGCAACACCACCATACAGCGAGACTCGTGTCACATTTCTGGTACTCCAATATCCATTTTGAAATCAACGATACTTATGAGACATGCTTTGCAGTGCTCTAGTAGCGACTTGGGAGGCTCGGTGATATTACTAGTAGTGCCGGCATCATAGGTCACAGATGACGGCGAAACCACGAAATAACTCTTCCTGCATCTCAAGCTGAGCTATCATACAAGTTATAGCATCAGCGCATTGTGCTATTTCGCTGAAGAGGCCTCGGTCTTTGCGTCGAGGTAACGATGTTCTCAACGTCCATGGTGTGGTAGGCCTCAGACATCAATCACTGAGCAGTGACATAATTACGCGTAGGTAATGCATAGTTCTACCCGACAGGTAGAAGACGGGCCTTATCGTGAGGATTGACTCGACAGCGTGTGAAGATCTCACCCTGCCACAAGCCCTTGAGACATTGAAGTCATTCCTATGATGAGTTCATGTGGAATCCTAGAAGTAGGAAATATGTATAGACTGTATCCTTACTCCTGTTCATAACAGTGACGTCGGGTTGCTTAAGCTCAGTCTGCGACCGAACTCATTAGCTAAGAATAGGCAAAAGTTGCCAAAAATTCATTTCAATATGCGACGCTGCCCGCCCTATTCTCAGCTGTTCATCTCACCAAGCAGTGAAAGTCGCCGGGGCTTGATGAAACCTGCGCAAGGACGATTGCAGAGTTCCATCGCTACAACCAAGAATAAGGATTTAGTTACAGTTAAATCACAGGGCCGAATTAACCTTCTGGAAGGTGCTGGTGCAGCGCTCCTAGGGGGCCTCTAAAAAGAAATTCTACCCCGGAGCTGCTCTGACCGAGCATGTTAAAAACTGGAGTCATGTAGACTTTTGAGTGGTCGGGTTCCTGGGCCAGATTGCAGATCAATATCTGGCATACCTTGCAGGTTTCATTGGTGTGGACACAAAAATCCCACCTTGCCCACACGCGCGGTTTGGCCATTTGATGAAGGCGCGCAAGGCAAGCAAGGTGCAAAGCAGGCATTGAATTCTGGACCATTGCACAATCCGTGCTGGCGTGATTCACCTACCTTCTTCAGCAAGAGGAATTCGTTATCAACAAACGGGTTGCCGCATTCGATCAGCGGAGGGAGCGGGTGTGTTCCGGTCGGTGAGGAGTCGGCGAGTTGGTGGGAATCTGGGTCTTTTGCGACGGATATACCCTACTATCGCAGCCGAAGAGGCCTTTGGTCCACTATCAGGCCCGGCTCATGTCCGACAAGAATGTGTTCATCCACAAATGTGGTCATCACCGCGATGAGCGGGAGGAGGCTGCACGTTCGGACGATCGGTTGTTGTCCGAGATCTTTCGGCTCGCAAAACGTTATCAACGCCTTGAGTTCGGACTTGGGAATGGATTCAGGTCTTCCGCCGAAGTCGGACTTTGAACTCCAGCAGTTCAGTCGCTTCAAGCATTGGGTGCAGTCCAGGCTCCCTATGCAGTGTCGGTATTTGATGCGGGCACTTAATAAGGTCCCGAGCGGGAGACAGAATTCGGACGATCGAGTAAAGCTCCCGTGGTGATTCCTGCATCCGCGAAGCTTCCGATCGTCTTGATCAGGAGAATTTGCTGGTTCCGACGCACTCCCACCTTCCATAAACCTGCTTGAGAGGCCCAGTAAGGTTGCGGCGCATGACGCATGTAACATGAATTGAGCAATATATCGTGAAAATCCCGAAAATCTGCGTAAAAAAATGAGGATCGGAACGATCGTAGCTAGTTTATTCCAAATCGACAGAAGTAATGCTTCAACGACCGTATGCAAAGCTGAGGTCAAGTGCCTATTCGACATATCGCTGCAGTCTGAAAAACGGGTATTGAAGAACAAGCCACAAGTTAACATGGAGAAAGTCGGTCTGTAGCTTGAAGCGGAAGAGAACAGACTGATCCTCGCAACTTACTTAGGTTCTTACCGCGCGTGTCCGCAAAACAATTCAGACGAACCAGCATCCAGTGCCCACAAGTCAGTCGCGAACGGGGCCAGGACTCCATCTCTTTCAGGTTTCCATTGAGATGAATCACATCACAAGACGTCTCTCTTCGCAGTAGAGCATTTACCCCCACGGGCCATAGCTCAGTTATCGACGGACGGGGGGCAACACGGGGCTATGGGCCATTGTCTGTGCTCGTTATCGGTTACCAAGACCGAGAATGCACTGTCATCGGCTGCCTCACTGTTGCAATTGACGGTATCCAAACCAAATTCGACTTCTACTGTAGTATTGATCAGAGGATTGGGGAATTTTCGATATTTGATTGTGTGAAGAATCATTCGACGTTGTTGGGTTGAGCGCTGTCGAGAAGCTCCGAAACGCGCTACGTGGCACTAGCACGATCTACCGCGTGGCGTCTCTGCGCACGTCCCGACGCGATGGATCTCGAGCTAGATTCGACGTCCATCACCGTTGCGAGGGAGGCGGTGGCAGCGAGCGACGAGGACCTGCCATCACGAAGGGTGCGAAAGCCATCCGCGAAAGCCCAACTGAACCAGACTCATCAAGAGATAATCGACAATGCGACCGACGGAGCGACGGAGGTTGCTGGTGGT